AGGATTTGATCATTCCTTCCTTTATGCCCCTTTATGCCTCCTGCAGACCTCTAATTGCTGCAACCATCACATTCCATCAGCAATTGATTATAGGTCATGGGCCGTGGGAGATGCTGAGCTCCAGGAAGGCCAGAACCATGAAGGCAGCAGGATAATGTAGTATTAGACAGTTCTGAATGCAAATCCTACCTCATCAACTTACTCAGTGTCCTTGGGCAAGTTATTTAACCCCCCTGAAATTCAGTTTCCTCATCTGCAAACATTAGGATAATCATAATACCTTTCTCAAAGGATGCTTGTGAAGATAAAAGAACAGAAGTGCTCAGCATGGTGCCAGCATACATCAGTCCTCAGGGAAAGCAGCTCTTGTTCTTACTCACCCTTGAATTCCCGCAGCCTAACACAGGGTCTGCGCATCTTGAAGGGAGACATAACACGGGAAAAAGACTGTTGACATGAGGATAAACTAGACGTGATCAATGGAGGGCCCTCCCACAACAAGAGTCTGTTTGGGCTTTTTTTCACCCAGATACAATCATGTTTCTGATATCCTAAGAACGTGGCTGAGACATCTATGGTCCTTTTAAAATCTGTCAACAAATTCTTTGATATTCCTCTCTTATGGAGGTGGAGTCTAACTGCCCTCTGCTTGAATGTGGACCGGACTCAGGAGGTAGCTTCTAAAAAAAAGAACGAAGCAGAAGTCACGATGTGCACCTTCAGAGACTGGGTAATAAAAGGCACTTGCTCCTTGCTGGCTCTTGGATCATTCACTCTGGAAGTGGCCAGTTGCCATGTCCTAAGGGCACTCACACAGCCCGAGGAAAGGCCCATGTGGCGAGGAACTGAGGCCTGCTGAAGTGGATTCTCCAGCTCCAGTCAAGCCTTCAGCTGACTGCAGCCCCTGATGTTACCCCGACTGCCACCTCATGGGAGACCCTGAGCCAGAACCACCCAACTAAGCCACTCTTGAATTCCTGACCCCAGAAGCAATGAGATGATAAACGTTTCTTGTTTTAAGCCACTAAGTTTTAGGGTAATTTGTTATGCAGCAATAGAGAACTAATCCTATATCTCAATGCAACATGGTTCGTTTTTATTTTTAAACTTGGAATCAGACTGTTTCTTTCTGACTTTAATTATCCTCCAAGGGACATTATGAACAGTCTCCTGAAGTCTAAAAATATATAACTTATTGGATTAATCTTAATCTTTGGCTCAGGTTCCAAGAAATATAAGAATTAAAAATAAAAAGCCAGCCCGGTGGTGCAGCGGTTAAGTGCACATGTTCTGCTTCGGTGGCCCGGGTTTGCCGGTTCAGATCCCGGGTGTAGACATGGCACTGCTTATCAAGCCATGCTGTGGTAGGCGTCCCACATATAAAGTAGAGGAAGATGGGCATGGATGTTAGCTCAGGGCCAGTGTTCCTCAGCAAAAGGAGGAGGATTGGAGGCAGATGTTAGCTCAGGGCTAATCTTCCTCAAAAAAAATAAAAAATAAAAACAAATCTCTAGGTACTCAGAACCCACAGAGCTACTGTGGTCTGTGGGATAACAAAAATCCGAGCACCATCCCTCTTAGAAAGAAGCTTGTTGTAGTGGTCAGGAGAGCTTCCAGTCACCAGCAATGCACCAGAACTGAGAGCAGAATGGATTAACTCTTTAGAAAGGAGAGGCCAGGTCAAGGGGTTTATGAAAAACTTCTTCACCGAGTTGTGTGTTGTTCTATCTGCTCATGTTTTCCAGCCTGAAGACCCTATATATAACACTGACATTGGCCCTTTTCTGCAATTTCTCCCCATGTCCCAGATCAACTCATCTGGATGGTGTACCATGGGGAAAAAGCAGGGGCTCAGGGGTAGAAGAGCCTTGCGTTGGAATCCTGTTTCAGATATTCATGCCATTCAACAAATATTGAGTGCATAATATTGTGCTAGCTGCTGCAGCTACAATAATGAGTAAAAACAGACTAGGTCCCCACCCTCACGGAGTGAATACCTAGTGGGGGAATTATATAATCACACAAATAAAAGTAAAATTGCACTCAGCCGACAGGTGCACAGGGTAGGATAAGGAGAGGCCAGGGAAGTTTTCCCTGGAGAAGAAGTATTTGATTTGAGAGTTAAAGGATGGTGAATTAAATAGCCTAAAGGGGTGTTAAAAACAAGACAACAGCTTAAAATGGAGTCACTTATACTAAGCCCCATGTCACCAAACCAAGAGTTAACTTAATTATAGCTCTGGCTCTCCCAAAAAAGGAATCTTAAACCAGTCAACCAAGAATTGCCTCATCATCATAAGTTAGGTAGTCTGCCTGATAGACCCCTGCCATCCTCTAAAGGAAAGTAACTTTGCAATAACCAACCTGCTTTTGTGCCTAGTATAGCTTTCTTGTTCCTGTCCCCTTTGGCCTATAAAGTGTTTCACTTTGTACAGCTCTTTGGAGCTCCTTTCTACCTGCTAGACTGGATGCTGCCCAGTTCATGAATCTTTGAATAAAGCCAATAATATCTTTAAAATTTACTCAGTTGAATTTTGTTTTTTAATGGGGAGAAGGAAGAACATTCCAGATAGAAGGAACAGAATGCATAAAGTTGCAGTGATAGGAGGGAACATGGCATGTACCCAAGGCTGAAGGCAGGCCAGTGAAGCTAAAGTAAAGAGAATAGGGTGTGGAGAGGAGTGGATGAATGTGCGAGAAACCAAGGAGGTCAAACAGACAGGACTTGGCAATGGCAGTTAGAAATGCTTTAGCTGGAAGGAGCAGACAACCTGACCAACAGTGGCTTAAACACCTAAGCCTGGTGCGTGTGTGCATTTCCTCAGACAATAAGAATTTTCCTTAGATAACAAGACTTCTGGAGGTAGGAGGGATTTGTTTAGAGGCTCAATGATGTCAGCATGAAGCGCTTTTTCCTCACAGCTGAGTCCAGCTCCATGCCTCATGATGAAGTCCAAGGCAGGAAGAATGAGAAAGGGGGTAAATTTGTGACAACTGTCTTATCAGGAAAGGAAAACCTTTCCTAGAAACTCCCAGCAGATTTCTGCTTAAGTCTCACTAGACAGAACTATGCCATCGGGCTACTCCTAGCTGCCAGGAAAGGTGGAAGATCGACTGTTTAACTTTTCTAGATTCTTTGGAAGAAACAGAAAAGAGAGAAGGGGATTGGGAACGGGTGTGGAAAGCACAGTGAGTTTGCAGGGGTGGGGCAGGAGAGGGGGACAACTGGATGGCTGGTGTCATTCTCTGAGTGGATAATTTTGAAAGATCATGAGTTCTGTTTTGGATGCACTGAGTTTGAGGGGTGTGGTAAACTGAATAATGGCCTTCAAAAATATCTGTGTCCTGAACCCTGGAACCTGTGAATATTACCTTATATGGCAAAAGGGACTTTGCAGATGGGATTAAGTTAAATGTTTTGCGATGGGGAGATCATTGTGGACTATCCCGGTGGGCCCTAGATACAATCAGAAGTGTCCTTATAAGAGGGAAGCAAAGGGAGATTTGACTCCAGAAAAGTGATAGACATGACAATAGAAGCAAGAGGTTAGAGTGATGTAAGGAAGGGACCAAGGAATGCAGGCAACTTCTAAAAACTGAAAAAGAAAACAGATTCTCCCCTCAGAGCCTCCAGAAGGAACCAACCCTGATGACATCTTGACTGTAGCCTAGTGAGACTGATTCTAGACTTCTGATCTCCAGAACTGTAAGAGAAAAAATTTGTGTTAAGATTGTGCTTAAAGTTTGTAGTAATTTGTTATAGCAGCAATAGGAAACTAATGCAAGCCGCCTTCAAAACATCTAAGAGATGTCAGCCAGGCATTTGGATACAAGGGTCTGGAAGTGAGAGAAGAGGGCTGGGCTTGAGATATGAATTTGAGTGTCATATTCACATGGGTGGCATTTGAAGCTGTGGGAAGGCATAAGCTCATATGAGGAGAGTGACACTGTCACCTACTTGCTGTGCATCTTTCAGCAAGGTACTTAACTTCTCTGAAACATTATTTATTCTGTCCCGGCATCATATCAAGCAATTTACACGCTTTCTCAAAACCACTTTATGAGGTAGATCCATTTTTATTTCCTATTTACAAAAAAGGACAACGAGCTTTAGAGATTAGTCATTTGTCCAAGATCAGACAGTACATGAGAAAGACAAGACTAACTCCATTCCCTGTGGCTCGGCCATATGGCCCAGGTACCAGCAGTATTGCCATGATCTAGTTTGTTAGATTCAAATCAGAAGCTGAATTTTAACCAGATCCCTAAATTATTTGTACATTAAGTGTGAGAAGCACTAGACTGTAGCGTGTCTCCAGAATGGGTTTCACCCAGGCAGGTGCTGCACCAAGAGCCTAGTTCAGAGTTCGAGAAGCACAGAATGGTTTTCGTCTCAGTTGCCCTTCTCTACCTGGAGCTAATATTCCGGCTCAGCTGTCCGGATTAAGGTGCCTCCAGGACTCTTAGGTACTTTTATCTACTGGAACTCTCCGATTACAATTCTGTCTCCTCCACCAGCATGTGAACGTGTCTAGGGCGAGACACACTTCTTTCTCGCCCAGGTACCCTAATGCCAGGGAAAAATCAACACCCAGGGCAGACGCCCTGCACTATTCCAACAAGCAGTATGAAGTAGCCAATGAGACTTAACCTGTCGCCCTAGGGACGCGCGCAGACGCAGCGAAGCCCTCCCGACCGGGCAGGGAGGCGGGACGGCGGAAGGGCGGCGAGCGGGAGGTTTAAATCCTGAAGCTCTGGGCTCCCGCAGGCGGAGCGGCTGGGCGCATGCGCGCGGCTCACGGGCGCCGCCTCAGCCGTCCTTCCCCGCATGCGCGGGAGCCCGGATGCGGATCAAGTGGGTTGAGTGCGCGGCGCTCAGCGTAATGGCGGCGCTCAGCGTAATGACGGGTGGTGGCAGCTGGTTCTTGGCTCTCGCGCTCGGAGTGACTCTCCTCAAATGTCTTCTCATCCCCACCTAGTAAGGGGCCCGCACGGCCAGGGGCTGGGCGGGGAGGCCCCGCGGTCGACTAGGGCGGGAAAGAGAAGCGTGGATGCCCCGGGTGTGAGGAGGAGAGGGACGATGAAGTCGTGTGGTCGCCGCTCCGCCTTTGCTATGCATCCCGCTCCCCCCCGCCCTGCTTGTTTTTTGACCTGAGAACTAAATCATAGCCCTGGATGGCAGGGGTCAGGCCTGTGCTGTCTGACTTGAATGTTCCTGAGCCCCAGGGTCCTCATCCTTAGTATGCAGACGAGCAGCACTCACCTCCACCATTCATTCAGCCGCTGTGTATCAGCTGCCTGCTGTGCTGGGTACTACTGTAAGTCCTGGAGATACAGTGGCGAGGAGCACATTTCTGCTCCTTGCCTTCGGTGGAGTTGGTGGGGGCAGAGAGACAAACGCGAAAGTTTCTGAGTGTGATAACATCTGTAAAAGAAATAGAGTAGACTACGGAACAAGGCTTTACTCCTCTTTTAGGAGATGATATTTGAGTTAAAATCCCAAGGATGAAAAAAAATAAGCAATGTGAAAAGCAGTTCAGGTATAGGAAAGAGTAAGTGCAAAGGCCCTGTGGTAGTTAAGAACTCAGCATTCTAGGAACAGAAAGTGGCCACCGAGGCTAGAGAGCAGTAAGGGAGGAGGAGAATAACACAGGGTGAGGTAGGCAGTGGCCGGATCACAAATGGCCTAGGCTGAAAGCATGGAAACCAGCTGGGAAGCAATAACCGAGTGGTAATGTGTACAAGTGGGTACTCAATATTTATGAATATTAGTTTCCCTCTGTGTACACAGTGGGTACTCAATATTTATTAATATTAGTTTCCCCCTTCTTTTCATCCTTGCTGACTCTTCTCCTTCGACTTTTTCCTTATACATTTTCTCCCTTCCCTCCAGGGCTCCCTATCTCCCTTCCAAGTTTAGAATTTGGTTTATTGGTGTGGTTTAGTTCAAGTTTTTGTGACCTTTTATTGGGTATGAAAGCTGAACGTGTAGAATGTACCTCCATACTGCTGCATGTCTGTCCTTAGCTAGGCGATGAAGTGTATATGCGGGTTCAGCAAAATGACTTCCAGGGACTTGGGAAAAGAAGGGGTTAGTCAGTTGAACTTTCTGCATAACTGAAGGAAGTAAGAAACTTTTTTTTTTTTCATTTTAAAAACAAGTTGGGAAAATATTTCTAAAATGTAGGAAATTCCTTTCAAATCAAGAGTGAAAAGGAATTTTTTTTAACTGTAGGACTGTGCATATAAGGTGATGTTTCTTGCTTTGGTTACTTCAGCTTAGAAATGTGTCTTCAGTTATTATTTTGAACACTACTCTTGGTCCACGGTTAAGAATGAATGCGTGTAGTTCTAGTTAACGCTCTGCCTCTCAAACTGGAAACCCCCCGGGATGTGAGAGGAAAGCTACAGGATAAATGCAAAGATATTCAACAAAATGTTTACTAAACTGCTTTTTTATATACAGGGCACTGTGGCTGGGCAGTAGAGGGGAGGACAAAGTGGATATGGCCCTTGATCCTATAAAGGATGTAGTTTAGTAAGGGTAACAGTTCCAGAAATAAATCTACACAAATATATAATTATGTAACTACACTTATGTTAAGTGTCATAAAGGAAAAGAATGGGATCCTGTAAGGGGGCTAACAAGGGGGACTGACTTTATGTATTTATTTTTTTTCTTTAAGAAAACGTCTCTTTTATTTTCTCTTTTCTTACATAAGGGGACTTACTTTAGATTGGGTGTCAGGGAAAGTCTCTGAGGATCTAACATATAGTCAGAGGCCTGACATATAATTGGACACACTAAGTACTTGTCTTTTGATGAACATGTGTACATATCTCTATTGAGTATATACCTAGAAATGGAATTGCTAGGTCATCAGATCAGTTTTGAATTGTGATTTTGAGGAATCTGTAGGAAATTCAGGTAACATTGTCAGCAGGAAGTTGGAGATGCCTGTCTCTAGAACTCAGGAAAGACAGCAAGGTTGTATATTGTGGTTTAGGAGTCATCCTTATACAGGTGACAGTGGAAGCAGTAAGTGTGAACAAGATTGTCCACAGCAGAGTAAGTTGCATAAAAAGAGGACCAAGAACTGAACCTAGGGAAACAGCAACATTTACTTGAGGAATATTGGAATGGAGAGCCATGAATAAGACACAGGAGGGGTGGGCTAGGAAACTCAGGAGAGAGTTGTCGGTGTGGAAAGGTGGTGTAAAACACTGGGAAGTGCAAATCGGGTTGTGCTGTGGAACTCATTGTTGACTTTGGTGACTGGTTAATTCACCAAGAAGGGATTGATCCTATCCGCGTCTCAGGTGCTGCTCGAGATGTGGAGGGGAGGTTCAGCACTGGACAGACAGAAAAGACTTTTCTACTAAAGAGGGGAGAAGGGTAGCGGAATATGCCACCCCAAAATATGCCTCTTTGGCATAGGGATTATTGTTTGGGGCTGATTATTTTGAGAAAGTGCAGACACTGGAGAAGCTCTGAAAACAGTAAAAGTTACCCTTTCATACAGGAAATTGACATTAGAAAGGGGGCCTGTACCAGGAAGGGAGCTATGACCAGAGAGAACTTTACCTGAGAGACTTGTCTGCGTGGCAGGGCAACCTTTGTTGACCAAACGTTTCTTCTCACCTTCCCCTGAATTGCCTTCCCCCATGCACCCCATTGAAGCCCCAGGTCCCTGTCTTTTTCCTTAGCTCAGGATGGTGTATAAGCTGCAATCATCTGCCTGCCTTTGAGTCTCATATCCGTCTCATATCTTTTGGGGCTCCCTATGTACATGATTGGCTTTTTTCCTCCTGTTAATCTGTCTTATGTCAATTTAATTCTTCGACCAGTCATAGAACCTAGAAGGGTAGAAGGAAAAATTTTTTCTCCCTTTGGGGGAGGTGCTTGGATATATTTATATATAGTGAGGGAGAAAACAGGGAACAGAGAAAATTTGGAGACATGGGAAGGCCAGGGCAGGGACCTTTTCCACCTTCTCTGGTTGATGAACTCCTACTCATCCTTGAAGATCCAGCTTTCATGTGAGGCCTTTTCCAGATCATGAATCTTGTCGGAATAAGTCAGCTCTGAGCAATGGCCTGAGGGCCTCCCTTAAGAAAAAGTATGGGCTTTTAGATAACTCTGAGACCCTTTTCACTTACTTGTGGATCCCAACTTTTCCAGAGGAGGGCTGACCTCCAGATAAGTGAGGCATTTCAGGATTATGTAATGCCTTTTAGTGTCTTTATAGGATAGTGAGCTGTGACTGTGTAGGGGGTGCTGGTCCATTTAAAAGCATAAGTTAGAAATGTGAAGTTGATAAATGTTTCAAAATCTCATTTTATTCATCTGATTGTTTTGGCTAGCCATTCCACAGATTTTGAAGTACACCGAAACTGGCTTGCTATCACTCACAGTTTGCCAATATCACAGTGGTATTATGAGGTAGGTTTTAATTTTCACCTTTTTGGTTGCTTGTTTTTTTCTAAGATGATATGTGAAATCGTATAAGTGTTACTGATATTAAAACAGTTTTCTGTGTGATCACAGGTCTAATTAATCTTTATAAAAATTGTGTTCTTTTCTCAGTTCTGTCTTCTGGCACTATTAGGGAATTTCCTTACTTCAAAATGAGTTTCTCAAACTATAAATTGGGAGTTATAATATCTGCCACACTTCTATTGAAAGAACATGGGATTGGGAAAGAGGAAAAATTGGATTCTAGGTCTGGCTCTGCCACAACATAGAAAAGACACTTCATCTCTCTGGGCCTTAGTTTCTCATCTGGCACATGAGGATATGGAATGAATCGTTTCTAAGATCCTGTCTGTCTCTAATATTTTGTGATTTATGGGGAAAGGAATAATCAAATGTGATGTGTAGGGATCTGGTAACGTACAAACTATTCTTTTCTATTATTATTTATAAAAATCATGTCTCTTTTTATTTCTAGTATGCACTACTAAGTTGCCTTTGATACTTCATGAAAAACAGAAATCAGCTCAGAAATGTCTTAATCAAAAGCAGCTCTGCACTGTTGGGGAGATTTTTTTAAGACAACTTGTAAAGTTTTCTGTGGGTTGTTGCTTTTCAGGTTTTTGGGTCAGGCCAGAATAGTCCTTTGTACTGAAAAAGCTTAAGAACAGCTGACCTAAGTGACCAAGTTCCTTGTTGCATGGTGACACTGTAAGTCCTTCACAGGAATGCTGAGGAACTTTAAGTCATTCCTTTAGTGTGAGGTACTTCCGTTTGCACATGTGCGTACCACTTAGGAGCCTAAGTGTGGCCTAGTGGCCAAGGATTGGGCTGTGGTTTCAGACTGCCTGGGTTTGACTTCAGCTCTTCCATTTAGTACCTGTGCTGGGTAACCATGGGCAAACTGCTTGACCTCTCAAAGCCTCAGCATCCCCAACTATTAAATGATAATAAATAAGTATTCGGATGAAATGAATAAAATGTGTGTGAAGCACTTAGCATAGTACTTGGAACAAAAGTGCTCAGTAAACATTATTAAGGGTTAGTGATAATTAGCATTATTAATATAATGACCCTCAGCCTATAAATGAAAGGTCAGCCCTGTCGTGCCATTTCCTCCTTTCTCTCTGACCATTCCTTGCTAGTCTCCTGTGCTCTCTCTTTGTCCACAGACCCCTTAGAAAGCTGGTACCCTCTGGGGTTCTCTTTGTGGTCCTTTTTTTCTTTTACTTCTCTAATTCTTTCTGGATGTTCTCTCATTTACTCCTATAACTTTCTTTCTTTTTATTTTTATTATTATTCTCTTTCATTTTCTCTTCTTTCTTTTTTCTCTTTTTTCAATTATTTTATTGTGGTCATGGTCGTTTATAACATTGTGTAATTTCAGGTGTACATTATTGTTTATCAGTTTCTGTGTAGACCGCATCATGCTCACCACCAGTAGTCTAATTTTTATCCATCACTGTACACATGTGCCCCTTTACCTCTTTCGCCCACCCCCTCCTGTAACTTTCATTACTACCTATTAGCTTAGGACTCCTGAAACTATATTTAGACCAGACCTGTTTCCACATCAGTTTATTTTAGATAGAAGTTTATATAAAAGAGATTCTAGTTATGGTATACCTCTTTGTTCTTCCTGCCCTCCTTGAAGTTAACAACAAAAACCAACAAGGAGCAAAATTCAGTTGTCAGTGAGGTGACTATACATGGAAGGAGGCTCACAGTTGGAGATAAGGCTGGAGGGGCCAGTGGGGTCAGGTCCAGAAGAGTCTTTCTAAAGAAAGGGTCTTTCATACTAAAGAGAGTGGGCGTGTGAGCAGTGGATTGCTTTGTAGTCTCCTTAGCTGTGACTTCTAACCTACGTTTCTGCTCTGGCCTCAAGTTAAATTGATTGGTCAACTGGTTGGGAAAGACACCAAAAAGACCCATAATAAACATTTGTAGAACGATCACAATTGTTTTGAATCTTCATATGTAGAGGTTGGATGTTTCTATATTTGAAGAAATAGCTCTTTTGTAGCAGCTTCCTGAGCAGTGGGTTTGGAGTCAGAAGACCCAGATTTGAATCCCAGCTCTACCATGTGTTAGTTAAGTGACGAAACTGTTCACTTGGGAGGAAATATTAGCTAGTAGTTTCACTGGCTTCCCGAAAGCTGTTGGGGAAGAAGATGGCCCCAGATGGAAATCCCTGAGGTCAAGAGGGCCTTCTGGGTGGGCTGGGTTTGGGAAGTCTTTGTGGGGAGTTGGGGCAGCATATAGAGAGCCTCAGAGTGGTGTGGGATTGGGGATAGCAAAGGAAGGACAAGCACAATTTGTTTTGGAAAAATGGCCACCTCTCAGGCAGAACCTGTTCCTCCTCCCAATTCTTTTAATGCTTCCTCTTCCTCATTTTATTTAAAGTAATAAATATGTCAATAAAATAAAGTAGGAAAAACTTTTAGACTTCCAATAAGATAAATGGCCCTTTAAGGTTAGAGTGATCTCTGACATAGAAACTGTAGCTGGAAATTGCAGATGTTAATAAAGTCTAAATCGATGTTGAATTTTTTGGAATTATGTGGAACAGTAATTTCTAAACTTTTTTTAATATCCATACCCTAGCAAGAAAACATTTTTGAGCATTCACTACGCAATGTATCTTTATTTATATGTTACAAAGGTACTGCTCTATTAATAATGCTTTTAAAAATAGCAATTAAAGTGGGGCTGGCCCAGTCGCGCAGTGGTTAAGTTTGCATGTTCCGCTTCTCGGCAGCCTGGAGTTCGCCAGTTCGGATCCTGGGTGCAGACGTGGCACCACTTGGCAAAAGCCATGCTGTGGTAGGCGTCCCACGTATAAAATGGGAGAAGATGGGCATGGATGTTAGCTCAGGGCTGGTCTTCCTCAGCAAAAAAAAGAGGAGGATTGGCAATAGTTAGCTCAGGGCTAATCTTCCTAAAAAAAAAAGAGAGAAATTAAGGGGCTGGCCCTGTGGCCTAGTGGTTGAGTTCAGCATGTTCCACTTTGGTGGCCTGGGTTCACTTCCTGGGCATAGAACTACGCCACTCATTGGTGGCCATGCTGTGTTGGCGACCCACATACAAAAATAGAGGAAGATTGGCGCAGATGTTAGCTTAGGGTGAATCTTTCTCAAGCAAAAAGAGGAAGATTGGCAACAGATGTTAGCTCAGAGTGAATCTTCCTCAGCACAAAAAAAAAAAGAAATTAAGATGAGATTAAAAAATGTTATTTCTAATTTTTGTTTCCACAGTTCAGTGGCTCATCTTGTTTACACCCCACATTGGAGACTTGGGATTAGAGAAGGAACTTTTCATAAAGGAGAGCTCAGTGTGGGGGGTTCCTGACCTGAGTGCCTTAAGACAGAGCCTCTGGGTTTGCCTCAAGTCTGGGGTTTCTGCATTTTATGCCTACAAGGGGATCAACAGGCTACTTCTTGTCAGGACCTAAAGTTGTCATTCATCCTTATCATGAACAAAGAGCTAACAAGTGATTTGTCTGAGTCTTTCTTGCCTCATTTTATACTACAGAGAGACCCCAAATAGTAGTCCCTGTGGGCACCCAGTTAGTATCCAAGGAACCCATAATGCACTTTCAGATGGAGAGGAGTTTTCCATTGAAAAGAACAACAAATTCAGGGTAGGGAGGTGATTATTACCATCTCAGCTTTTCTGGGTGCAAGATCTAGGTTTAGTTTTAGGGACATCCTACAGAGATAGTAATAATTTTTTTTTTTTTTGAGGAAGATTAGCCCTGAGCTAACATCTGCCGCCAATCCCCTTCTTTTTGTTTTTTTTTGTGCCGAGGAATACTGGCCCTGAGCTAACATCCGTGCCCATCTTCCACTACTCTATATGTGGGACGCCTGCCACAGCATGGCTTGACAAGCGGTGCGTATGTCCATACCCGGGACCCAAACCGGTAAACCTTGCCCGCTGAAGCAGAACATGCAAACTTAACCGCTGTGCCACCAGGCTGGCCTCAATAGTAATAATTTTTAAAAGGATAAATAATATGTGTTGATACTTAGTTTGTATCTGGTTCAATACTATATATGTAGTATTTTATAGGTATATGTAAAATTTAATACAATAAGCCATGAGGTAAGTACTACTATCCCTGTTGTGTAGATGTGGAAACCAAGACTTAGAGAAATCTAACAAAATATAATATGCTAAAGTTTATATATTTTTCATATGGTCTATATTTTCATTTACTCATTAGTGACTGTTCATTTAACTAGTGATTATTTAATACTTAATATATCAGGCACTTACTAAATGCTCAGGATACAGAAATGACAGTGATTTCTGTTCTCAAGGATCTCATACCTAGTAGAACAAAAGATAAGTAGCATTCATGTTGCATTTTATCATTTATAAATATATTTCATATGTACTATCTAATTTAATGCTTACAGTACCTCATTTTACAAATAGAGAAGGTGAGTCTCTGAGACAGAACTTGAACCCAGGCTAGTGAATCATTTGTTATGCCATAGCTTCCTTATATTTAGATAAGTAGAACCATGTCATAACCAAGTTTATTATAACAAAGTTGCAGGCTAATTTCCTTTAAAGTACAGTTGACTCTATTTAAGGAAATTGATGACCATATGGAATAACTTAGGAAACAGTTTTTGGTGTTGTCTCAGTCTCACATAGGAGTTGCTCTTTTTATGGCATATTTTAAATGCAGTTTTATTTCATGTGCTTTTTTAAAGACCAGAGAATGAAAAATTTCAATCTTTGCACTCTCTTTGTTTATTCCGTTACTTAGGAATTGTTTTATCTTCAATTTTTACCACAGGCAACTTCAGAGTGGACCTTGGATTACCCGCCCTTTTTTGCCTGGTTTGAGTATGCCCTGTCACATGTTGCCAAATATTTTGATCAGGAGATGCTGAATGTTCATAATCTGAATTACTCCAGCTCAAGGACCTTACTTTTCCAGAGATTTTCCGTTATCTTTACAGATGCACTCTTTGTGTATGCTGTCCACGAGTAAGTCTGAGAAGGTCATTTTGTGTGGAAGGTGTTGCGGAAATATTATAGTATTAAATAGTATCAACTTGCTCCTGATTTGAGGAAACAAAGTTCATATAATAGCAAATATTAGAACAGTCCCAAACTGTGTTACTGTGTTTTAAACTGCACAGTGAGTAATTTCACTAAGCAGTCTAGCCGAATCTTATGGAAGAAAATGGGGGATAAGGTGGGGTTACAAGGCATAGGTAGAACAAGAGATTGTGAATGTTGTGAAAAGTAGTTCCAGGACCATTTTTCCCACCCAAGATGGCTCGTATGCTTTTCTTTCTTTCCTTGTAGCAGGCCCCCAGAGGCTTCCATGACCTGCCCTATACTTTGGGATACCCACACGTGCCTACAGCGCATGTACAGTCATGCACACATGTGCATTGTGCTAACCACCAAATGGCATTTCCATTCTAGTAAACTCAAGAAATCTGACAGTGATTTTGGTGCTTGTTTCTGAATTCTTTCCTTGCTGAAGCTTCTTCACTAATTTTAAGTTATATTCATATTTCATATGTTTATGTTTTGCATCTTTTATTTATAAATTAATTTTTAGTTGAATGAACTTTTATAGAATGTCTTGCACAGAGACTTGCAAGTAGTAAGTTCTCAGTTAATGTTGGTTTCTATTCTGTCCTCATACTTAAGCCTGCTGGTATGATTGTGACAGAGCAGTAACTGGTGTCCCTTCAGTGACCCTTGTCATAAATGGATCATTTCTCTTTGTGAGGCCCTCCAGACTGAATCCTCATCCCATTCAGGAAAGAGTCCCTTAGGGATGTTTTAACCCCTGCTCATCCTCATAGAGTCACTCCTGTTTGACACAACTTTCAATCTATTTATGACCTGGCAAGAATTGGAGGGGAAGGTGATTTGTAATACACTCCTTTAAACTCGAAAAGTTTGAATTCAAGCTCACAAGGAAAGTGTGTACAGGCAGAGAGAGAAAGTAGAATTCATTTCCATCTGCAGTGTAGAAGGAGCAGTTAAGTAAGATACAGATTGTTGAAATCTGTGTGTCAGTTCCCAGAACCAGGTACTGTTTATGGATTAGTAACTTAATTAATTTTCTCAGTTACCCTGTGGGGTTACTCTCTCTGTTTGTGAGGAAACTGAGGCTCCTTGGGGTAAGAGCGGGACATGCTTTCCTAGCCCCTCTTTAATTACATCTTTATTGTGTCTATATTTTGCTTTAGATTTCTTTGTTTTCAGAATTTGCCAATATTCAAGTCAAACACATTTTTTAAAATCTTTTTATAAAATAATACATCCTTATTGCCAAAATTTTGGAAAACAGAAAATCACACACGCACACAGTAAAAATGACCCATTCTCCTCTACTTAGAGCTATCACTGTCAGCATTTTGGTGCATATTATTTCAGCCTCTCTTCTGTGTCTGAATATAATTTTTATAAAATAAAAATAGGATCATACTGTTTTGTTATCTGCTGTTATCACTTAATAACATATCTCAACCTTTAAATGACATACATTTTTACATAATGATTACGTAATAGTTTTTAAAATTATTTGGAGATAGGAACTACAAATTCATGGCTCAATTCTTAATTTGGTTGATGGGATATATATTTTATATCTCATCCTGGCCTGCGTTTTTTACTCTTAAGGACTGAAATAGTGTGTGCCCTCTCAATTTTCAAAATCCTTACTTTTGACTTTTTGGTGGCTGTTTTTTATTTTTATTAAATGAACACTTTGTTTCTAATTGGCATCACTGAGAAAGAGACTTGGAACTGGCCCTGAGATCTTTATTTCTACTGCCACCTTTTTTAAGCAGAAAATGGCATGGACACTTTATCAGGAATGGCTAATTAAAGGTGTCAGTATATCATGGTGGCCTCTTTAGAAGTATTGTGATGTTCTAACGAAGATCAGAGTTATTTCTGATTCTTTCCTGATGTCTCAATGTAGGTGCTGCAAATGCGTTGATGGGAAAAAAGCATGTAAAGAACTCACAGAGAAGCCGAAGTTTATTCTATCCGTGTTACTGCTGTGGAACTTCGGGTTGTTAATTGTGGACCGTATCCTTGACATCTTATGTACTATTCCCTTACTTATTCTGATTATACTAAGTATGAGGTTAATTCTTTCTATAATGATGGTTCTGAAACGTAAGCTCTTTTGAAAGTGGGTGTGGAGTGGGTTAATGGGTCCCCAAAACTGGTCTCTGCTCACTTTAGTGGACTCTGATTGTTAGAGCACTTTGTCCCTGAAAAGTTAGTGGTGATATTCGAAAACCAGTTAAACCTCCAGTAAAGCAAGATACTGATATTTGCTAACTGTCTTTAGATTCATCTAATATGTATATCTTAAACAGTTTTATAACACATTATTCTAAATACCTTTATAGGAAAGGGCATATCACAATGTTGCATATGGAAGCAGACAGTCCTTTTTGCTTTTTTATCATTTTGGCTTACCACATATTAATAGGCAAAGTTCTTATATCCAAAGGGTCTGACTATAACTAAAATTCTAATGATGGAAGCCTAATATTTTGTAGTTTTCATAAAACTAGCCTGGTGTGGAGGAAAATACTCCAACTTTGGTTTAAGTCTGACCTGGACTCAACACTTAGTTATGTCATTGCCATAAGTAGATTGGGCTATAAGTAGATTAATGTCTCTGAGCTCTAACTGCCCCACAGGTTCATTGTGAAGCTGAATAAGTAAGATTCTGTATGTACTATGAACAGCAGGGTGCTGCATACCAGTAGCTTCATGCTAGTTAAGTCGTTTTGTTTCTCATCCCTAATGCTAAAAAATAAAACAAAACAAAAAACTTCTTGCACTTTAGCTGCTGGGTCTTTAAGGTAGAAAAAACATGGGAAAGTTTCCTGGTTTTCTTCTTAAACATAAATTTTTTTATACCCTGTGATAATCCTTGGCACTATATAAATTTTAATTAAAGAGTTTGTCCAGGATTTGACTCTTTATAGAAAACATATTTATGAAAAGTCCAAAATAATATAATATTTTTACCCATTAAGAAAGCATTTGCAGGGGGGCTGGCCCCGTGGCCGAGTGGTTAAGTTCGCGCGCTCCGCTGCAGGCGGCCCAGTGTTTCGTTGGTTCGGGTCCTGGGCGTGGACATGGCACTGCTCGTCAGGCCACGCTGGGGCGGCGTCCCACATGCCACAACTAGAAGACTCCACAGCGAAGAATATACAACTATGTACCGGGGGGCTTTGGAGAGAAAAAGGAAATAATAAAATCTTTAAAAAAAAAGAAAGCATTTGCAGGGCTGGCCTGGTGGCGTAGTGGTTAAGTTTGCATGTTCTGCTTTGGTGGCTCAGGCTTCATGGGTTCAGATCCTGGGCAAGGCCTGTGCACCACTTATCAAGCCATGCTGTGGAGGTGTCCCACATACAAAATAGAGGAAGATTGGCACACGTGTTAGCTCAGTGACAGTCTTCCTCACCAAAAAACAATGAAAGCATTTGCAATTTTTATATTCAGTCTGCTGGCACAGTTCATTGTGAATTTGGTGTCTTCTGTTGTCTTTCCTTGACCTAAGTCCAGATATTCATTTCCAGTACAATGGTTTTTTATTTGGATTAATGCTACTCTCCATTGCACGATTATTTCAGGTAAACACAAAATAGGATAATTAGATTTTTCCCCCTCAAGTTTGGTTTTTAGCTTGTAAAGGCAACAGTGTAGTAGGTGACTGGAGAACTTATTTGACCAACTGTTTTAAGTTGTCAAGTCGTATAGACACTGTTATTGAGTATTTCTCACAAATTCCATCTTCTCTCTTAACAAAATTTTCTTCATTTTACACATGAGAAAATTATACTCTAAATAAGTGCGGCAGGCCTGAAATAAACTTGAGTTTCTATATTTGGTTGGGATCATTTATCTAGGAATGAAATCTTCAGCAGTTTTTATAATATATTAACTGTGATGTTGGAGCTTTACCATCAGACGCGTGTAGCACAATGTAATGAACAGTATGGGATTTGGAATCAGAAGACCTTGAAATCCTGACCACCTCTAATAAACTGTGTGACTTAGACGGATTACTCAAATTCGTTGGCTGCTTCACGTTAGGTACATTATATATAATCTTGAGTGAACCTTGCAACTATTCCGTGAAGTTGTTGTAATTATTATCCTCCTTTTTATAGAGGAAGAAATCAGAAATTCAGATTTCTGGGCCACCCCTCTGTACCCTGAATCAGAATCTCTGGGATTAGGGTTCAGGAATCTCTAGGGAATTTTGATACACTCTCAGGTTTGAGAACCGTTAACCCAAGGCAAATCATTTAACCCTGTCAGCCTCAGTTTTCTCATCTATAAAAAGAAATTTACCCCTTGTTGCATTCTTATTTGTAAACTGGGGCTACCTACCTCTCAGAGACTTTGGAAAGATCAAATTTGATAATGTTTTAAAGTTCTTGTCAACTGTAAATGTCTGGATAAGTTCTTTTCTTTTCATCAGAAAAAGCCACATAGTACTTAGAACATGATTAGTGTTCAATGAATGATTGTTGTATGGTTGTTGAACAAATATGCTAAAGTTTAGCTATAGAACCAGCTAGACCTTCTTTGAATCTTAAATAAATTATGAAATTGGTGAAGAGACATCTGGAAGCATCTCATTCTTTTTCCTTATCATTCCTAACTCGTCCATTCTAGACCACACCTGATGAGACAGTGAGAGAAGGATCCCTTTGGCAGTTTCCTTGCTGAATCCTAGGAACATTATCTCATTTAATCCTTCCAAAATTCCTATGAGGTAGGTAGAATTCAGACTTCTTTAGTTATAGTCAACTCGGGGTTTTTTGTTTCTGTTTTGAATCAGAATACCTTTAGTTCTCCTAGGTAGTTTGTTAAGATCGAGTACTACACTGGGTGCCTTCAGCCTGACTGTACTTTGTGTTCCCTGATCTGTAAGATTTAAAAGGTTCTTGGGTAGCATAACATCGTATGTATGCATTCATACTCATTCCCAGCTCCTCTCTGGAAATCAACTTTAGTTATTGTAAAACTGTAAGGGAGTGAGAGTAATTGAATTCTCTGGGCTTTCGATCCGTAGGGAATTTATAGTGTGTTATGAGGATGTATCCTGTACCTCAGCATCAAGCTTAGTGCTTAATAAATATTTGTTGAAATAATGAATTTATGAACCCACTAGGCTCAGTATAAAAGCTAGCTGAAATCACTTGCCTGTGTTTTCTTTATATTGCATGTAGAATATTTGCCTGAATTTTTAAAACTTATTACAGAAAATTTAAATCATATACAAAAGTAGAGAAAATAGTACAGTGATCTACACACACTCAAAGGATTGTTTTGAAACACATCCCAGACTCTCGTTTTATTCATTAAGTATTTCAGAATATATCTTTTAAAATATGTATTTTTTTAATTGTGATAAAATAACATGAAATTTACCGTTTAACCATTTGCAGGTGAACAGTTCAGTAGTGTTAAGTATATTCACGTTGTGCAACCAGTCCAGTGGTTTTTTATTTTTTAATAAACTCTTTTTAAAAATAATTTTAGATTATTTTAGACAGAAAAGTCACATAGTACAGAAAGTTCATGTAGCCCTCACCCATTTTCCCCTAATGTTGCCGTCTTGTATCACTATGGTACGTTCAGCAAGACTAAGAAACTAACATTGGTACATTCAGATTTTTACCAGTTTTTCCGCTAATGTCCTTTTTCTGTTCCAGGATCCAATCCAGGATACTACATTACTGCATTTAGTTTCCCCTGGATTTTAAAGTGGTATTTCCCTTTTAAATCTCCTAGAAAAGGCATATGGAAGGCGCGTTTCTCTTTGCTGTTCTTCTGCATTTCAAGCACATCTACCTCTACGTAGCACCAGCTTATGGTATATATCTGCTGCGGTCCTACTGTTTCACTGCAAATAAACCAGGCAAGTTTTAGTGATAATAGCAAAACCGTCTTTATTTTATTTTTCCTTGACTTGGTAGCTTGCTTCTTGAAAGGATTTTATGAGGCACAACACATACTTCTCAGCTATTGATCCTATACTATAAACCCCTTTACCCATTTTGAGTTTTCTCTGCTCTTGTCACATCATAAAGATTCGTGTACTATCGGGATACTTCTGGTTTTAGCATGTGGTATGAGTTATGGCTTTCCATGCTCCCGGTTAATGATAACGTTTCTTTTCTGTAGATGGGTCCATCCGATGGAACAGCTTCAGCTTTGTTCGTCTTATTTCCCTGGGACTGACTGTTTTTCTAGTTTCTGCTCTTTCACTGGGTCCTTTCCTGGCCTTGGTAAGCCTTTTATGTTTAATAAAGTAATACATGTTTTTTGTTGTTTAGAAAAAATAATAACGCCAAGAACGTATAAAATAAGCAAAACTACTCCTTTCTTACTCCTCTCCAGTGTGACTCCCCAAAGAGGGGATGGTACTCTCTCAGACATTTTTATGCATATTCAAATATGTATGTGTATGTATTTGTAGGTTTAACCATGTGTCTCAGACACATACTCACACAGAGTTGATAGTAATTACTCACAAATTTCCCTATTTGCTAATTTGCCTACTTGCTCTAATTTATCTGTAAGCCTAAAATCAGTACTCAGGGTGCTTTCACAGTCATTCGCTGACAACAAACATTCTAAAGTGCCCAGGATGTTCAACAGATATTTTTTCCCCTTCTTCCCTCACCCTGAATTCAACTAATTAATTTTAATTCCTGCTAAAACTGAGAAGCACTGTACCTTTTATGAAGTCTTCTGCTGCTGCCGCCTCTTCAGTAGACTTGGATAAGCTGCAGTCTGTGGCCTTTGCACCTTGTAAGTTCTTCCCTGATTCTGCTGACCTCGTGCTAGTACTGGACTGCTGTTCAGAGTACTTGTATGTGTCTTGCCCCACTCGACAGATGAGTAGGGCAGACAGAAAGAGGCTCTGTGAACTGCTCAGGATCACACGACTGTACTTACGTGAAGGAACAAAGATTGGCACTCAGACCTCGTAACTCTGCGTGCTGTGGTGTAGATAGTTTCTGAGTTCCCTTTTTGAATTTGGAAAACACTGATCACCGCTTAATCTCTTTTCAACAGAACCAGCTGCCTCAAGTCTTTTCCCGACTCTTCCCTTTCAAGAGGGGCCTCTGTCATGCATATTGGGCTCCAAACTTCTGGGCTGTGTACAATGCTTTGGACAAAGTGCTCTCCGTCATCGGTATAGTAGCAAACCTTCTTACTTACACTATGAATATTGAAGGGATTGGTCGCGTTGAGAAATGGGACAACCTGCTTTGTGTTTTGAATGTGGCTGAACTGTTTGTTCTCCAGCCCTGCATTTCGGCAGAATGAACGGAGCAGTTCTAGGGACTGAGGCTTCAGTGCAGCAAACAGACTGTAGTCCTTGGAGCCTTGAGGCTGTTGAGCTTTTCCTTGGAAAAAAAATAAAATATTTAGACATTTTTAAAAGGTAGTTTTTGCCTTAAGTAAAATGTTATTCAGCAGTTTTAAACTTTTAAACTTAAATTTGTGAAGAAGCAAGAAAGAAGAACATGTCTGTTGTGAGTCTGGGTGTTAAACCAATAAGGAACATGATAGTCATGCACTTTAGCATGAGATGAAAAGAAATGGAAAACTTAGGCTATGCTTTTAAGTTTGGGTTGTAATGAAAAATAATTTATACCTTGAGGTGATTTCTATGGAAAGTAACTCATTTTGGAATAACTTAAAAGTGGAATAACTTAAAACTTAAAAGCTCATTTATGATTACAGCCTAGTTTGATGGGAAATGGCAGGATCAAGAGAATGGTAGACAAACTTTTTCTGTTAATAGGCCAGATAGTATATTTTAGGCTTTGCAGGCCACATAAGTTGTTTATAACCTTTAAAAATGTAAAAGCCAGGACGGCCCAGTGGTGTGGTGGTTAAGTTCACAGGCACAGCTTCAGCAGCCTGGGTTTTGTGGGTTTGGATCCCGGGTGCAGACCTACACACTGCTCATCAAGCCAGGCTGTGGCAGTGTCCCACATACAAAATAGAGGAATACTGGCACAGATGTGAGCTCAGCAACAATCTTCCTTACCAAAAAAAAAACGGTGAAAACCATTCATAGCTTCAGGGTCATACAAAAATAGGTCATAGGCTAGATTTGGCCCTTGACCTAGAGTTTGCCAACTTCTGATCTAGAGTGTGATGCCTTGGTTGGAGGCCCACCTGCATAAATTGCTGGCAGTGTGGCATTGAGCAAGTCATTTTATCCTCTAGTCTTGCCTTCCTCGCTGTAATAAGGAGATAATGGTACTGTGCCTGTTACTGTGTAGCGCATTGTGAACAATGGATGCAACAATAAAGAAGGGCTAGTTGTCAGTAGCAGGGCCTTTGGAACCAGGCAGAACTGGATTCACTTCCACCACCTATTAGTTCTGTGACTTTGGGCAAGTTACTCCATCTTTCCGTGCCTCAGGGTGCTAAAAGTAATGGCTGCAAAGCCCTTGGCACATGGTAGATGCTTAATGCACAGTGGCTGCTATTACTGTTTTTGATGCATACTTGTAGGAAATCATAATTTGATATTATCCCTCACCAGTCTGGCCTTGATGTACAGGCATTCTTATAAAGTGATTTCATAACATTTATATTTCAAAAAAGCTTTAAACAACCAGTATATTGTGAGGTACCAGGGCCACTTGCCTTGTCTGAGTCAGGAAACTGCTAACTATGCTGCACCTTACTTTGTATATGTGTCTCATCAAAGATGTCTTACCTGGAAAGTCGGTGGCAGGGAGACAATTGTTAGCTTTAAGAGAGAATTAGCAGGCTGAAGGGAAAAGGAAAGAGGTGAATGGATAAAAAATATTTTGGTAGTCTGTACCTTTCCCACATTTCACTGATTTTCAGTGGCATTAGGTAGGGCCATGTAGGTGCTCAGACTGCCCCTGACTATCCTGTTAGCATCATCCTCAGATTTGGTTCATTTAATAAGTATTTCTTAAACTCCTATGTGCAAGGGATAGAAGTGAATTAATCATTCCTGCCTTTAAGGAACCCAGTATAGCAGAGGAAATGAGTATGTAAACAGACATAGTACAGTGTGGTAAACACTAGATAGAGACATGTTTGGTATTCCTGGCCCACAAGAAAATCAGCTCTACTTCTTGCTTTAGGAGCTTTCTCAAATGAGTGAGTGAATTAGGAGTTAACTTCACAAGGTGAGTAGGCCATTCTAAGCAAAGGGATAGCCTGTGCAAAGGGACACAGGTGTTGAGAGTGGTATGTCAGCTCATTGTAGCCAAGCCACATTTAACAAAGTGGAAGAGATGAGGCTGGAGAGGTAGAAAGGGGCTAGATCGTGGAAGACACCGCATGCCATGCTTAGGAATATAGACTTTATCCTGGAGACAATGAAGGATCCAAAGCTGGGTTCTGACGTGGTCAGACCTGTGTTTAGAAAGCTTGCCTCATTTTAGGGGTGAGAGCCAATTGCTGTTTATGCTGTCTGCAAGCAAGCTTCCTGTAAAGTGGCACAAATTCCCTATTCCAATGCAGACAGCTGCTTTACATAGTATAATCTCAAGACCAGTGGCATTTTAGGTAGAAAAGTGCAGAATTGAGTTGATGAAATCTTGACCTTGAAGCCGTCATAAGATTTAGTAGGTTTTTTTCCTTAAGATATTGATTGATAAAATATGGTGTGCCATTGATAAAAACAAAACAAAATAGAATGTCTACTTACTCTGTAGGTTTACAGTTGAAACTTCTTGATCCCAAGAAGATTCCCAAGGCCTCAATGACAAGTGGTTTGGTTCAGCAGTTCCAACACACAGTCCTTCCCTCGGTGACTCCCTTGGTCACCCTCATCTGCACCCTGATTGCCATATTGGTAAGAATTCACACATGGGGCTCATTTCTTGAGTTTTCTCTACCTTTATTTTGTGTGGCTGGTTGAATTTCAGCTTTTTCTGACCGTAGGATAAATTCCATGGCTGTAGTCCAGCTGCTGCAGGTTGAGGCATTTCCCAGCAGCTCTTAGAGTAACTTTGAACACCAGAAGGAGGGATTACTGGTAAAGCCTCTGTGAGAGGCTCTCACCAGAGACTGATAGACGAGCTGTTCACCCTCTGGCGAGGAAGAAAGAAAAGCCCAGGGAGGAGGGGCGTGGACCACACTAAGGAGAAAGAAGAAAGTGTTGTAGTAGGGATGTTCAGGTGTTTTGTTGTTGTTACTGTTTTCATCCGTGGCTGACTGATCAGAAATCCAAATTTGTCCAGACTGCATGGATATTTTGTCTTGATGACAATGAGATGAGAGTCAGCAATAGCTGTTTGAGCATCAGATGAGAATCTGAGTCAGATGCTGTTAGAGGCTTCCTTCAGAGTTGTTTTTATTTCTTAGTGATCATGATGCCCTCAATTTCATGATATAATTTTCGTAGAATTCAATATAAATAACTCAATCCTGTCTATAATTACTCTCAGATTTAATTTTGGTTTCTAAATGTTCAAGCCTACTAGAAAGACACCTGACCCCACTTAATTACATGGCAGTACTGGTAGGTAGTTAAGCTCTGTGGGCCTACTTGTTCACATGTTCTGAGGTAGAAACTTTTTTCTAAAACCTTAGCCTTGTATGCTGCATATAGAAGGCCATAGTTTTATTATAAATTACACTCCATCCAACAAAGCTAGGTTTTTGTTTATTAATATGGTAAAATCTAATTTATCATTGGCCCCAAAATATCTATGAACTTTTGTAGTTTGACCTAATAAGTTCGGTGACAATTAACTAATTTGAAGATATAATAAAGGATTATATTAGATATCCTAGAACTTAATCATCATTTATTTTGATGAATAGAATTAATTTTAATGAGTTAAATATATATTTTAGAACGCCTTTTTTTCTGAGTAGTTGTTTTTATGTTAACTTTTGGTGCACTATTCACAAAGTGATGAATTATCCCAGTTTAATGGAGCGTTGTCTTAAGATCTACTGTGTTTTAGAGATGATACAAATTGTATTCACTTGAACAATGTTTCTGGAAAGTCTATTTTAAATGATACTGAAGTTTTATCTTTGCCTATTGTTTCTAGCCTTCTATTTTCTGTCTTTGGTTTAAACCCCAAGGGCCCAGAGGTTTTCTCCGATGTCTAATTCTTTGTGCCTTGAGCTCCTTCATGTTTGGGTGGCATGTCCATGAAAAAGCCATACTTCTAGCAATTCTCCCAATGAGGTAAGCCGATCAGCATTTCTGGCATGTTTCACAATGATCCTGTTGTTTCCCATTTGATCTGTCCCTCCTTGATATGTTCAGTGGGATAGGCAAAAGAAAAGACATACAGGGACAGCTTTATACGAGGACAGGACAGGGATGCTTAACTTGGGATCTTTGCGCCTGTGAAGGTTCTGAGGTATGCAAAATGGCATGTGTTGTTCCTGCATTTTTTGGTAAGGGGTACTGTAGTGGTTAAGAACCATGAGGCAAGGCTGTCAGAACTAGATATTGAATGGCAGCATAGTATGGAAAAGCATGGGCTTTGGTGTCATCACATCTGTGAAAATAAGGTCCCACAGTTCCTTGTAAATTGTTATCAGTCAAAGTGAGGATTGAGTCCAGTATGGAATAATACCTAACATTTGTATAGCACTTCAATTTTCCAGAACTGTTATTTTGGTTGGTGTTTTGTTGGTTTCTTTCTTTCTCTTGAGCCTCGCAACAATTTTTAAGATATATAGATATCATCATCCCCTGTCTTAACATCCACAGAAACTGGCGCTCAGAGAGTTTGTGACTTATCCAAAGTCGCACGGCTGGCAAGTAGCAGAGTTAGGACTTAAACCTGAATCTTATGATCTTTTCACTGAGACATGCTAAAAAAAGCATTTTAAATGCAGTAGTGTCCGTTTTATGTATAAATGAGACCCAATAGATACATAGTAATAGAATTAGCCATTTTGCTTGAGATTTTTTTCTTAAATCCTGAGAGAAATCATGTAAGCTCTGAAAGAACATTTAGCACATTTCTTGGGTCAGTATATATGGCTTGTCTAGGTTCATTTGGCAACTTGGAGTTTCCAAATTAAAAAATTGAGCAAAACTTTTAATATTTTTAATTAGAATTCATACCAAACACCAGCAGGTGCAGGGCATTGTCCAAGAGAAGAGCTATAGGGTCGGAATTAAACTCCCCAGACCTGTTTCCCTGGCTGCCACCACTAGGCAGCTCCCAATCCCACATCATCCCTGTCTTTGGAGAAAGCAGTTACTCAGGGAGACAAGATTCAGTGTGGTAGATTCTTCTATTGATTGCTTAAAGTTTCCCAGTGAGAAATTAATCTTCTCAATTGCATTGGGCTTGTAGCAAAGATCAGTATGTTATTTTATGCTTAAGCCAGTTCTGGAAATAATAATAGATTCAGTTTATTTAAGCTATTTGCAATTGTAAGTTTCAGTTTTGTTTAAAGGAATTATGATGAGGATTTTTATTTTTAGCCTTTTGTCTGTGGGAAAAGCAGGCGATGCTTCGATTTTTCTGATTCTGAGCACAACAGGACATTATTCCCTCTTCCCTCTGCTCTTCACTGCACCAGGTAAACAGCTGCTTTTTAGAAAGATGTATTTGATTGCCATGCCCTTTTTATCAGGGCCTAGAGATCAATACTATCTGATTTAAACAACCTGAAAGTCTCTTGGAAGGAGAGCTCATCCATTGTCTTTAATAAAACCTCCAATTTGTCCCTAATACTCAGTATCTTTAGACATCACAAAAATGCATAGTTAAGCTCAAAAAGCATTATTAGTACTATATAGCTGTGTCAGTGCTTATATTGCCTTAAGTATCATAAACCTTTCTCTTATCAACTAAATTATCATCTGTATTTTTTTTTATTTTTTAACAGAACTTCCCATTAAAATCTTACTTATGTTACTATTTACCATCTACAGTATTTCCTCATTGAAGACTCTATTCAGGTAATCCAAAAAAGCACATTTAAAGTTATATTTACTCCTATGAAATGTTTACTCCTAAATGGTCAGATAAGCCTTTTAAAGTTTATTTTTAAGTTATAACAGTAATATAAAAACATTACAAAAAATTGGCAAATAGAGAAATTCCCCATAATCCTACCAGCCTGGCATGACAACATAGGTCGTGTCTTTAGTGTTGGGGAAATATTTAAAGAGGGACTGCCTAGCTTAAATTAAAACTTTATATGAAAACTAAAAGATGAAATGTAAGATATGCATTATGAATATAACCACTTAAATACAGATGCATAAAACTAAAAGATATGTAAAAATTCTTGTTATAGAATTATGCGTGGAATTTTTTTCTCTTCTAAGCTTTATGTAATGCTATCTGTGTAATTTTTAAAAGCTTCCTTATGGTTCATATCTGATTGTGTCCATAAAATCTCCTATATTTAATTATATTGAAACTCGATTATAATCATGTGACCCAGTAGTTCCACTCTTAAGTGTATACCCACAAGAGTTGAAAACAGAGACTCAAACAGATACTTGTACACCAGTGTTCATTGCAGCTTTATTCACAGTAGCCAAAAGGTGGAAGTAACCCAAGTGTCCATCAACAAATGAATAGATCAACAAAATGACTATACATACAATGGAACAGTATTCAGCCAGAAAAAGGAATGGGGTTTTCATATGTGCTACAACATGGATGAACCTAGAAAACCTAGACTAAGTGAAATAAGCCAGACACAAAAGGGCAAATACTGTATGAGTCTATTATATAAAGTATCTAGAATAGGCAGATTCATAGAGAAGAAAGTAGATCAGAGGTTACTGCAGGGGGGTGGTATTATTGCTTAATGTTTCCAGAGATTCTCTTTGGGGTGAGGAAAAGGTTTTGAAAGTGGACAGTGGTAATGGTTATACAACATTGTGAATATACTTAATGCTACTGAATGGTATACTTAATAATGGTTAAAATAGCAAATTTTATGTTATTTTACCAAAATAAAAAACATTTTTAAAACCCTCAATTATATATTGTCTACCATAGTCTTAAGCCAGTATCACACTATCCAGCTCCCTTTCCTCTTCCAAATGCATAGGTAATTCTCTCTCAGCAGCTTCAGCTAAGTGACAGCATAGGTAGAAGACGATTGGGTAGATTTGGATTGTTGAGGTATCGTAACGGTGTATCATTATCATTTTCTTCCCATGTGGAATTTAATGCACTTTGACTCTAGCTTTGGCTGTACTTCACGTCAGCACAGTGCAGGTGGGAAGCGTTAGCTGCGAAATGTTTGCTAAACCAGAATGACCCATCTAAAATGAGCCTTTTCTCTCCTTTTTTCTTTAGGAAAGAAAAACCTCTTTTTAATTGGATGGAAACTTTCTACCTCCTTGGCCTGGGCCCTCTGGAAGTCTTCTGTGAATTTGTATTCCCTTTCACCTCCTGGAAGCTGAAGTACCCCTTTATCCCTTTGTTACTGACCTCAGTGTATTGTGCAGTGGGCATCACATATGCTTGGTTCAAACTGTATGTTTCAGTATTCACTGACCCTCCTGTCGGCAAGACAAAGAAGCAGTGAATAAAGGAACTGCTTGGATGTATTCCAAGCAATTATTTCATGGGAAATTAATCAGAACTTGAAGAAAGTTGCTGGTGGCATGAACCATTCATTTCAGTAGATCTGTTTGGAGGACCATTCTTCCAAACTTGGCTTTGCCCGGCCTAGCAACCTGATTGTCACCATGGTGAGAGGCCGCTTGTCCTCCATAAGCAGTGAAACAGATCTCACTTTCTCCTGCTAAAATTGTCTGAGATTCAGACTCCTGCACTTGCTTAAGGCAAGCAGGGAGTCTGATCAACAGCATGATTATTTTTAGCCTATGATAACCATTGCCAGGCTATAAAAAATAATTAGAATCATGTGCTAAGGGAAATATAAATAAAATACTATTTTTTATTTCTGCACAAAAATTGTTTGGCTTATTACCAGCTCCTACATATTCCTGTTGGCGTGCACACAAGCAGATGGTATACTGTCCCCATTCTGTACACCTTGTTCCAGGAGATTTTTTTTTCATTGAAATTATATACAATGGCAGTGCTCACAAAGCCACAGGGAGTATTTAATGAACTGGTTTGGCCAGTCAGCAGAGACTATAAAGCATGTCTACTCTCGCACTGAGGTCAGGACATGTCTTAGAGTTCATTTATTCTAATGCAAGCACTGCAATTTTGATAAGGCTGCCACTTAAACTTTCCTCACATGAACAAACTTAAGTGGTTTTTGCAGCCTGGTCTTGTCCTCTCCCTTCCTTAAGAGGATTCATACACACTTTTTATCCAGGAGCCCAGTTTACCTAATATATGCTGCACATTCAAATTCAGCCAGCATTTATCTAGCCAATACTAGAAACTTTCACACATTTTATTTACCCATTTTTCCCTAAGATCAGAGAGTCTAGGTCAATGGCATCCTAGGATGCTAATCCAGCTATCCCATCTCTTAAATTCACTCAATTTTTCCCAGACTTGTTTTGAGTCTCATTGCAGAGATGAAGAAGGAGATTTTGCCAAAGGGGGAGGGGAGCATAGCCTCTCTAGCCTCTTTTCCTCACCAGTCCCCCTTGCACCCTGTGTTACAGCTGTCCTAACAACTTAAATTTCCTAGTGTGCCATGCGGTTTTGCACCTCTGCTTCCTTTCATTCATGCTGCTTTCTCTTTTCTCTCTCTACTGACTTTTCTACCCTGTAATCTGATTGTATGTACTTCTTCAAGATTAACTTAACTGCTACCATATCTGTGAATATAAAGGTAGTACAGCCTAGTGATTAAGAATAGGAACCCTAGGGGCCGGCCCAGTGGTGCAGTGGCCTCACAACTGTACGCCCCTGAGCCTAGCAACCAGCTACACTGGGTCTGGGTACCAATTCAATAGAGGACAATTGCAATAAGAGTGTGCTAATAGGTGGGACCGAGATGGCGGAGTGAGTGGTCTTCGTCTCTCCCCTGTTGAATCTACAACTAATTGGACATTCACCGATTAACAAAGGATATCTAGATAGCATCTCAAGACACCTAAGAGTCTCGTACTACTATACATCAGAAGGTAGAAGGACTTCCCCCGGGGAGGAGGTGGAAAAAGGTGAAAACTCTCCAACCCCCAACTCCCGACCCCCAGACAGCCTAGTTCCTGCAGGAGGCTCTCGTCCAGTGGACTCCCCCATAGCATCACCACACACCAAGGGTGGGAGTGTGCACTCACCAGCGAAGTGACAGTGGAAACAGGTGACAACAGCCCTACTCAAGCCCCCCATGATTACACCTAAGCCCAGGGGGAATCTCCAGGGTCCCGCACCCACCAGCAGGGAAGGCCTCTGCTCGCCATTAGCAGGGAGGCCCCGCCAAGAATCCAGAACAAAGGGAAGCTCCCAGCGGGTGGATTCCCTGGCACGGCACCAGACCGCAAGCTGCTGCAGGGCCCACAGTCTCTGGCGCACGGGTCGGTGCAGGGGGCGTCCGGACTTCCCATGGACGTGCTTAGGGACACGGTTGGAGGTCCAGCACCCGGCTCTGCAGCCCGGGGGGAAGCTCCGGGGTCCCACACCTCCCCGGCAGGGAAAGCCTCTGCTCACCATAGCAGGGAGGCCACGCCCAGAATCCAGGACAAAGGGAAGCTCCCGGCGGGCAGATTACCTGGCATGGCACCAGACCTCAAGCTCCTGGGCCCACGGTCTCCGGCGCACAGCTCGGTGCAGGGGGTGCCCGGACTTCCCGTGGATGTGCTTGGGGACTGGGTGGAGCTCCAACACCTGGCTCTGTGGCCCGGGGGGATGCTCCAGGGTCCCGCACCCCCCCCCAGCAGGGAGGGCCTCTGCTCGCCATTGGCAGGGAGGCCCCACCCAGCATTTGGAACACCAGGAAGCTCCCTAGAGCAGAATTCCCCACAAGGCAGCAGCTTATAAGCCACCGCCAGGCCCACGGACTCTGGCCGTGTCCCAGACGAGGCAAGGGACTCCCAGAGATCCTGTGAGAGTGGAATGGGGCAGAGTGGAGCTCCGGTGAAATGGCTATGTAGCCCAAGGGGGAACTCCAGGTTCCTACAGCAGCCTCAGTGAAAGCCTCTGCACAGCACTAGTGGAGAGGTCCCGACTGGCAATCACAAGGCGGGAAGACCCTGGGGCAAAAGTAGCACAGCTAGGTGAGCTAACGACAGACTGCAGAAGATACCCATAGCTCTGCTGGGACTTATAGTGGACAAGTGTGATCTTGTGGGCTCTGTTAGGGACAAAGTGGTGATTATAGGTGATCCTGCTCCTGCCTGCTGGGACAGCCCACAACACCGCTGCAGACCACAAGGAGGGAGCACATCTAAGTGGGCTGCAACAGTAGGCACCAGGAGCCTGAGGCCCACTTGCGATTGCCCCCACAACTGACCAGGGACCCCACAGGACCACTGTGACGACGAGGAGGGGTCCAGGTCCAGTCAGTAACAGCTGACAGGGTTCCTGGTTGGTGCAGTCTAAACAGCTGCCCCCCACACACACACTAGTTGCAACAAGTGGAAGCAGCGACTAAACTCTATCTCTATGCGGAGGCACAAATCCACACCATCAAGCAGTATGAAAAAATATATTAAATCTCCAGAACAGAAGGAAAATGATAAGCACCCAGAAAACAATCCCAAAGACAATGAAATCTATAACCTAATGATGATGATTTCAAAACTGCCATGATTAAAAAACTCAAGGAGTTAAAAGAGAATTCAGATAGACAACTCAATGAGTTCAGGAGGTATGTCACAAAAGAGCTTGACACTATAAAGAAGAACCAATTAGAAATACTGGAGATGAAGAACACAATGGAGGAGATTAAGAAAAATCTGGACTCTCTGAACAGTAGGGTCGATAATATGGAGGACAGAATTAGCAATTTGGAGGATAGGAATATAGAAATGCTGCAGACAGAGGAGGAGAGAGAACTAAGACTAAAAAGAAATGAAGAAACTCTCCGAGAATTATCCGACTCAATTAGGAGATGCAACATAAGGATTATAGGTATACCAGAGGGAGAAGAGAAGGAGAAGCGGGCAGAAAGCCTGTTCAAAGAAATAATAGCTGAGAACTTTCCAAACTTGGGAAGAGAGATGGAACTTCATGAGACAGAAGCCAATAGATCTCCAAACTTTATTAACGCAAGAAGACCAACCCCAAGGCATATAGTAGCGAAACTAGCAAAAGTCCACAACAAAGAGAAAATACTAAGGGCAGCCAGGCAGAAGAAAATAACTTACAAAGGAAACCCCATAAGGCTATCAGCAGATTTCTCAGGAGAGACCTTACAGGCTAGAAGAGATTGGAATGAAATATTCAAAACTCTGAGGGACAAAAACCTGCAGCCAAGAATACTCTACCCAGCAAAAATATCCTTCAAATACGATGGAGAAATAAAAACTTTCCCAGATAAACAAAAGTTAAGGGAGTTCATCGTCACAAAACCTCCTCTTCAAGAAATGCTCAGGAAGAACCTCATTCCTGAAAAATCAAAAAAAGGAAAGGGGTTATAAAATCCAGAACAAAGAAGATAAGCAGAAGGACAATAACACAAAGTAACTGCTCTCCATCAGGACAAAATGCAAAAGAACCGGAAAACAAGTGATAAAATGGCAACGGTAGGCCCCCACGTTTCAATAATCACTCTAAATGTGAATGGATTGAACTCTCCAATCAAAAGGCACAGAGTGGCAGGATGGATCAAAGAACAAGATCCAACAATATGTTGCCTCCAGGAAACACACCTCAGCCCCAAAGACAAACACAGACTAAAAATGAACAAAAGAAAGCAGGTGTTGCCATACTTATATCAGACAAAGTAGACTTCAAAGCAAAACAGATAAAGAAAGACAAAGAGGGGCAGTATATAATGATAAAAGGGATGCTCCACCAGGATGACATAACACTTATAAATATATACGCACCTAACACAGGAGCACCAAAATTCGTAAAGGAACTATTAACAAAACTAAAAGGAGACATCAACAGCAATACAATAATAGTAGGGGACCTCAACACCCCATTAACACCAATGGACAGATCATCCAGACAGAAAATCAATAAGGAAATTATAGAATTAAATGAAAAATTAGATCAGATGGACCTAATAGATATATATAGGACACTTCATCCAAAAACAGCAGGTTACACATTCTTCTCAAGCATGCATGGAACATTCTCAAGGATAGACCATATCTTGGGAAACAAAGCAAGCATCAATAAGTTCAAGAGGGTTGAAATAATATCAAGCATCTTTTCTGATCATAATGCTATGAAACTAGAAATCAACTACAAGAATAAAGCTGGGAAAGGGACAAAAATGTGGAGACTAAACAACATGCTACTGAACAAACAATGGATTACTGAGGAAATTAAAGAAGAAATCAAACATTATCTGGAGACAAATGAAAATGAAAACACACCATACCAACCGATTTGGGACGCAGCAAAGGCAGTCCTAAGAGGGAAATTCATTGCAATACAGGCTCACCTCAATAAGCAAGAAAAATCTTACATAAGCAATCTCAAACGACACCTAACAGAATTAGAAAAAGAAGAACAAACAAAGCCCAAAGTCAGTAGAAGGAGGGAAATAATAAAAATTAGAGCAGAAATAAATGATATTGAATCAAAAAAGACAGTAGAAAGGATCAATGAAACAAAGAGTTGGTTCTTCGAAAAAATCAACAAAATCAACAAACCCTTAGCCAGACTCACTAAAAAAAAAAAGAGAGAAGTCTCAAATAAATAAAGTTAGAAACAAGAGAGGAGAAATCACAACAGATACCGAAGAAATACAAAGGATCATAAGAGAATACTATGAAAAACTATATGCCAACAAATTGAACAACCTAGAAGAAATGGATAAATTCCTAGACTATACAACCTACCCAAACTGAATCAAGAAGAAATAGAGAATC